CTTTTGTGTCTCTAAATAGCCGTCCGGGAGGAATTGGTTACAAGGTTAAAATGTCCGGGGTTTTTTTCTCCCTCGCCTCCTTCCCTCCCTTCCATGCAGAGTGCGGCTGCTGATTGGGCGGCTGGGCCAACTGACCCGCTCCCATTGGCCTCCAGCAGCCAGAGCCCTCCCCTGCTCCCCCCTCCCTCTGTCTGCTGCCCTGTGTAACACACAAACCGACCCACCAGGCAGAGTATTTTGCAAACACATGGAGCCAGAATGGTAAGGGGAGTCGGGGGGCGAGGGGGGCAGTCAGGGAGCGGGGGAGTGTTGGATGGGTCCTCGGCCTCCACCTGCCAGCCCCCCTCCTTGCGTCCCGTCCCCCCCCTGGACCCCCCCGCCTGCCTCTCCCTTGTCTGCTGCCCCCAGGTCCTAGTGTCCCCCATCTACTAATGGGAAGACAGGCTGCCCTTACCCTGCCCTTCCACCCTAGCCTTGAGCCTCTCCAACGCCCCAAACCCCTCAGCCCCAGCCCTCATCCCCCACACCCTAATCCTCTGCTCCATCCCTGAGCCCCCTCCTGCATCATGAACCCCTCATCCTCAGACCCACAGCCCTCACCCCTGCATCCCCTCCTATCCCCAAACCCCCTCCCCACACCCCCCTCCTGCCCTCAAACTCTCTCCCAAAGCCTGCACCCCCTCCCTTTGCACCGCCTCCCACCCCCAAACTCCATCCCAGAGCCTGCATCCCTCACCCCCTCCTGCACACCCACCCCCTGCCCCAGCCCGGAGCCTGCACCCAGCACCCAAACTCTATCCCAGAACCTGCACCCTGCACCCCTCCTGCACCCTAATCCCCAGCCCAGGACCTGCACCCCAGACCTCCTCCCCCCACCCAACCCTCCTCCCAGAGCCTTAGGCAGGTGTGGGGGGGGGGTTCTGGGCAACACCAAAATTTCTACAACCCTGCCACCCATGCGAGTGGATAAGGGTCGGGGCAGTCAGGGGACAAGAAGCAGGGGGGGTTAGGGTTCTGAGGGGGGCAGTCAGGGGGTGGGAAGTGGGAGGGAGTGGATGGGGGCGGGGTGGGGGCGGGGCTAGGGCGGGGCTCCCCCCGTGTCCTCTTTTTTGATTGTGGAAATATGGTAACCCTAATTTTAATACCTACATCTTTAGTTCCGACATGCCACTTTAGTGATGCATCAGGAACTACTGGAAGATCAAAAGGTTTATTGAAGCAATGAAACCCTTTGATCACAAAGAACCACTCTCCTTTTCGGCCAGTTCTGCAGCTCTCTCCCCCGCCCTCCCTTCCCCTGCAGGAAAGCTTCTTTACCCTGTCCCACCTGTTGGTAGCATGCATTGGCTAGAAAAGCTGCGGTTTTCTGTTAGCTTGAAGAGCACTGGCCAGGCAGTCAATTTATGGGGTGCCACTGCCAACCTGTCCAGTTCCTCCTACTACTCTTGCTCCCTTCCTCACTGGATTTTCTGGTGTCTCCTCCATATCCACACAGTTGATTCCCACTCCCATTCATTCCTGGTGGGGGAAAAAAATCAGGAATGAAGAAGAGGTTAATATTAAAATCTCATCAATTTCCTAGTTCTATTCAATGAAGTTAGAAAAATAACACCTGGGAAGTTCTCCTATCTGCAATCAAAAAAAGATATTTTTGTCAGATGTGGAAATAATTAGTAACCTGATACGAGTTTTAGTTTTCACCTTCTTTATAAAATAGGATACGTTAGCTATATTTAAATATGATTAGGCTTGTTGCTCTTCAGCTATATACCCAATTTAACCTATTCTCATGGGATTCCTCTATTATGCAAACTAACGATAAACTTTGAAGGATGTAATTGCTTTATGACTGGAAAATTGAAATTGAGAGACTTATCTTCACCTCCTGAAATATGAAATTCATACCAGATGCTAGGAAATAGCAAAGCTTTTGTCTCATTTAATGCCATTCACCAGTCCAGAAGACAACTGGTGTCCACTGGACACTTAAGTCTTCCGGACAGCAAGTGAACCCAGGCGTAGCACTAGCGTGGCATAGCCTTGTCTTCCATTTCATATCCCCATTTTCCTTCCTCTGAATGGAATAATTTCACTACCACATTGCAAAATTCCCGGTACAGGATTTAAACTGGCTTCTAATGATTTGTGAACAACTATGTCATCTGTTGTGATATTCGAAGACTTTATGTAATGGTTCAAATCCATAGTCTTGCTGCTAATCTGTGAAGATTATTTCAACATATTCTAATTCAGGGGTCGGCAACCTTTCAGAAGTGCTGTGCCGAGTCTTCATTTATTCACTCTAATTTAAGCTTTCGTGTGCCAGTAATACATTTTAACATTTTTAGAAGGTCTCTTTCTAGAAGTATAATATATAACTAAACTATTGTTGTATGTAAAGTAAATAAGGTTTTAAAAATGTTTAAGAAGCTTCATTTAAAATTAAATTAAAATGCAGAGCCCCCCAGACCAGTGGTCAGGACCCGGGCAGTGTGAGTGCCACTGAAAATCAGCTCGCGTGCCGCCTTTGGCGCACATGCCATAGGTTGCCTACCTCTGTTCTAATTTATATAAAAGTGCTGCAGTACTGTATCTAGAAGCAATTGTTCAGTCGCACTATTCACCAGAAACTACTCAAAATTCTTCGTAGTGCCCAAAGAGACTGCCAGTTAATTGTATCATCCATACAGTGGTGATTGTCCAAAAAGAATTCATAAATTGGGAAGTTTCTTGGTTCCTCACTCAACAACTTTACTAGTCTTACAAGATGCTAGTATTGCAGACTGGGGATCTCAGACAACAATTCACTCTTGTCAGGGAAAATGGCCATTTAGCCAAATTTCACCACACCATAAAATTACCTGAAACTGGAAGCAGCAAGCAAAGCACGATCTTTCTTCCTTACAACACCAATAATCAGTCAGCCAATTAAACCAAAATATTGCCTTTACCTTTCTTTTGTCCTAAACTGCATCATTCCAACTCTCACCGTTTGCAGAGCAATAAGGTGGTATAACAATAGACTTCAGGATAGAGAAGCTGAAAACTCTTTTCATGATTTATACAGACCAGAGGAAGGGCATGAAAACATCTAAAATGGTACCACTCAAACTGGGATTCAATAGCTGAATGTGGTCTCATGGAATCTATGGATCTGAGCTCACTTTCTTTTGCTTTGCTCCCAGGAGCACTAGCATATTTCAGGCAATATGACAAAGTACCACCAGGAGGGCTAAATAGTTGAAGATTTATTGGCAAGTATCAGTTCCAGCTCCCACATCACAAGCTCATCATCATGCTTTGCACTGACCATTACGGGATCAGCTTATGGGATCCCTCCATATCTGGCCAAGAAACCAGGAAAGGAGGAGGGAAAAAAAGGTGAAAGAGAAAAAACTCCCCGTTTTCCTAGAAGTCAAGAGAGGATGACAAGAGAACAGACATTGTGCTGACTGGAGCTGCAGATATTATAATGTTGCCATTTGTGCATCATAGGATTACATCAATATATAATGATGTTGATATGGTGAGGCGATGTCACAGTGCAAACGTCACACTGCACTACCAAGTTGTCACGCTGGCTCTTTTCAATTACATCACTGATTTCTAGCCCAGCAAAGCTGAGTACATCTGCCCTGAAATATGTTCATCTTTAGATAAATAAACCAACAATGAAACAAGTGTATATGTCTGTTAACAAGATTCCTCTGCAAGGAATCAAAAGAAAGTAGCTCTGCACATTTCAACATTATGATCCTAAGTGGTCAACACAACACTAATTTGCCTATTATGAGGTGGATGTTTTTTCTTCTGCACATGCAGTGGGAGGGATAGCTCAGTGGTTTGAGCATTGGCCTGCTAAACCCAGGGTTGTGAATTCAATCCTTGAGGGGGCTACTTAGCCATCTGGGGCAAAATCAGTACTTGGTCCTGCTAGTGAAGGCAGGGGGCTGGACTTCATGACCTTTCAAGGTCCCTTCCAGTTCTAGGAGATAGGATATCTCCATTAATTTATTTCAAGTATACAGTTTTACAAACTGTACTTTCTCAGGATAGATACACTTTAAAACACCACAAAAATATTGTGTCTCTTGATATTGCCTTAATTGTTCATTCCCTATGCATTTTCAAACATGAAACCTGGATCGCTGCTTGCTACTCTGCAAGGTTGGTTCATAGCAATGAGGAAGAGAGGATATTTTTTCCTTTTCTGTATTTTTGTCTGGACGAACTTTCTCTATATTAGCTTGAACAGTTCTGTTTATGTAGTTATCACTGTTGGAATATGGAATTGTCAGCAATTTCTTCTTATGATAAATCTGTGTATACAGAAACTGCAGAAGGGGACAACAACCCCCACAGGTTGCTGGGGGTAGCTTACCCACAACTTCAAGATTACTGGCTATCATTATGAGGAGAAAAAATTACAGAAAGGGGGGGAAAATCTCATTTCCTATGCAATCCAGAAGCCCATTTATTTCTTGCCTATATAATCACATGCAGTTTTACCATCTGATCCAGCTATCTTTGCTCACAGAGCAGTCCCACTGAAATCAATGAGTGTGAATAAAGGCTGTAGGATTGGGCTCTAGGAGATAACTAAACAACTGTGAGTGGTTTACATTTATTTCTTCGTGTTTCCAGCCCTTCCCCAACAGCCAATTTCAAGCCTTCCCATCCCTTTACTTCATCTTTCATTTCATTGACATTTGATGCCTCACCTTAAAAATCCTCACGCTGCAAGCTTCAGTTCTATAATACAGCTGTACATATAAACCAACCCATATGGAACTCAGTGTGTATTTTGAGTGCTTACCCTGCAATTTCTGATTATCCAAATGGAATGTGTAGATTCCTATCATTATTCTAAACAGATAGAACATCTGCTCAATGTGTATTACATACTGAAAAGAAAAAAGGAAGTAATTTTAAACTATGTATCTGAAGCCGTGTAAGAAGTATTTAAAGATTTATAAAACATGGAACTGGTTGGTACAAACCAGGGATACAGAGGCATTTATAACTGGTTCCAACACTGCGACAAATGCCATGTGCACAAGGATTCAGAGCACAGAAGTCAATCAGCTGAGAACAGGTAGGTCCCGTGAATCCAGGACTACAACTGCAGGAGTAAGCAAGTCTGTCTGCGAAACAGGTCCCATTGTTCTGGCAGGGAGATGAAGCACAGGGGTCTACTTTCTCTTCACAAGAAGATCCCAAAAATCCTAGTTGAAAAGAGATGATTTTCATAAGTAAAACTTCTTTACATATATGCTATTTAAAAAAAACAACTTGCAGTAATTGACAGTTACACATTTTAGTATTTCTAATTGACTTTGTGGAAGAGTTACAGAAACACATATGCATGCACAAAAATGTTAATTCTGGCAGCTATGTTTGTGACATTATTGCAACTCAGTGCATAAGGAGTGTAACTGCTTTGATGTGGCAGGATTTCAAAGATATTTGCAAAATCTTACATCAAGTGTCATTCATCTCAAACAATTATAAAGGTAAACTCGTTGCTTTAATATAGAGAAAGTGAGAAAAATCAGACATTGTGTAAGCAGGTATAATTCACATGAATATCTTGGAGCCAAATTCATTCCCAAAATCAAGAGAGTTGGTAAATGGGGATGGTGGAGCAGTAACAGTAGCAAACACTCTGAGAGGGATACTCCTAGCTAGACCAAAAATATTGAATTCAATACATGTATTGTGGCATCTCTTGCTATTTATTATTGATCTTGGAAGTATTGTTCAGAACAATGTCATTTTACACTTCAGGTGATTGTATTTCATTAGTAATACATTTCCATTAATCCTGACAGGATGTGTTACTTTACAAAGTTTTTCTTTTCTTCCCTCCATAATTAATCATCATTTGGACACACAAGTGAATTAAATAGCCATTTTATTTTACTGTAGTTTTTATCACTGCAATAATAGATAGCACCTGACAAAGATTTTTCTACAGATTTTAAAAGCAGAACAACTCTACAAAACAAGCAATGGATGAAATTATATTTTCAAGTGCAACAATAGAGAAACAAGCATACAATGGTACAGTATATTCAAATCATACTATTTGTTCTTTATCGGTGGATTTCTTAATGATAAGAGGCAGTAAGGTCTAGTGGACTGGACTAGAAGTCAGGAATTGCTTAATTGTGGTCCATGGTCTGACATGGATTTGATGTAAGACATTGTGCAAAAGGCCAAATCTATCAAAAGTAGCTTCTAGTTTTGGAGTATTCGATTTTTGTGCAGCTATATGTGAACACTAAGGACCCAATTCTCAGAGGTTCTGATCACCTACAACTCCTATTTAAGTCAGTGTTGCTAGCACTATAGCTATAATATACTGCATGTGTGTATACATATGTGTGCATTTATTAGCTAAATTCTGCTTTCAGCAATTGCAGTGTCAACTGATTTAAGAAGAATTACATCACTTACACCATGGTAACTGAGATCAGAACAAGGTCCATAGATTTAGAGTAAACGTGTAAAAGAAGTTAATGACTACAGATGTAAGCAAGAGGAGAATCAGACCCACAGTACTGCTACTCAGATACCTTAATTCTACTGCATAAAAAAGGAATCAGAATACAAATAAACAATGTAAAGTAACTGTTCAAACTTCAGTATATTAAATACACTTGGACTACCAGTAAAAAATCTGAGAAGGCAGGTGACAAACTATTTATTTTTTAAATCTCATGGTTTTTAAGCCAGTCTCATGAGTTTTGAATGGTTGGAACTGGCAATACTGCACGTGCTTAAGAATTCTGCTGAACGGGGAATGGATTTACGTATGCTAAGCATGTTAAATCCTTAAGTGCTTTCTGTTTTCCATACTGGCCTGCTTTAGGGGTGGTGTGGAGCTACCCAACCCAATGGGAGCTCCAGGAAAAATGCTTTCTGGAGAGCCTGGGTACATGGATGAACTTAGAATGACGAATCATCCCTTTATGCCCAGACAGCTGTTCCCCAAGCACAGGGGTTCTGACTGCTCTGCGAGCTTGTTCTTCCCCACATATTCACATAAGGATCAGAGACAAATATGTACGCCAAAAGGCTTGGTCTGTAAGACCAGAGGAAGAAATGAATTCCAGAGCTGAGGGCTCTCTGCAGAGAACACCTGACCATCAGCCCGATAACATTTAAAATCTAGGGACAACAAGCTTGAGCCCAGCAGCTGACCTCAAATATCCTGACGAGTCATTGGGAGAGGTAGTTTCTCAAGCAGTAAGCACCTAAAATATAGTACCTGATGTTTTATAGATCAAAGTCAGCTCCTTGAATTGTGCTAAGTGAATTAGTGTTACCATACGTGCGGATTTTCCCGGACATGTCCGGCTTTTTGGGCCTCAAATCCCCGTCTGGGAGGAAATCCCAAAAAGCCGGACATGTCTGGGAAAATAGGGAGGGAGGGCCCGGCGGTGCGGGGCCGGGGCCGGCGGTGATCAGCCGGGGCCGGGGGTGCTCGGCTGGGGGCCGGCACCCCAGGGCCCGACCGAGCCAGGCGGGAGACGCCGGGGCCAGAGCCTCTTGGCCTGGGCCGGCCGGCCGCCAGAGGGAGCCGCTCAGCCAGGGGGGCTGGACTGGGCCGCGCTGCACCCCGCACCAGCCCCAGCCCCAGCTTACCTGCTGCCTCCCTGTTTCAGGCTTCCTGCGAACAATTAATTCGCGGGAAGCAGGGGAGGGGGAGGAGCAGGGGGCAGAGCGTTCAGGGGAGGGGGTGGAGCGTTCAGGGGAGGGGAAGGGGCGGAGTTGGGGCGGGGCCGGGGCCCCGTGGAGTGTCCTCCTTTTTTAAAACTAAAATATGGTAACCCTAAATTGAATGGGAAGCCAGAACAGTCCCTTACAACCAGATGATATCTGCTCCCTTCAGTGGATACTGCCTACTACCCTCATGCAAAATGCAATGAATGTTAACAAGATACAGATTACTGCAGTGAGGATTAAAAAGGAAATGCCACAAACACCTAGCAAGGCAAACAAAAATTCTTGGTCACTGCTGCCATCAGGATTCCAGGAGCATCAAAAAACTACAAATATCTTGGACAAAGGCTGAAGAAACCCATCAACACAGAGAGTGTAAACCATCTCCTCCATAACCTCGCAATCCTAACCCAAGGCCCACAACCATTACCCCCATTTTACTGGACTGAGCTTTCACCAGTTGGCTCATAACCATGTCCCAATGTCAGCCAGGCACTAGGAAAAAAAGGCAGAAAAACTGCAGGACCTAAAATAACCAGCAAAAGCTCATAATTGTGTATTACCGGGGGAACTGAGCCAATAAGCCTATGTGGCCTCTTTGCTAACTCTGAAACTAGACTAAAAAGGACCAAGGAAAATTTGAGGCCTCCAACATGATATCAATGCTGTCTCACTACAGTCTTTCATAGATTCATAGATTCTAGGACTGGAAGGGACCTCGAGAGGTCGAGTCCAGTCCCCTGCCCTCAGGACAGGACCAAATACTGTCTAGACCATCCCTGATAAACATTTATCTAACCTACTCTTAAATATCTCCAGAGATGGAGATTCCACAACCTCCCTAGGCAGTTTATTCAAGTGTTTAACCACCCTGACAGTTAGGAACTTTTTCCTAATGTCCAACCTAAACCTCCCTTGCTGCAGTTTAAGCCCACTGCTTCTTGTTCTATCTTTAGAGGCTAAGGTGAACAAGTTTTCTCCCTCCTCCTTATGACACCCTTTTAGATACCTGAAAACTGCTATCATGTCCCCTCTCAGTCTTCTCTTTTCCAAACTAAACAAACCCAATTCTTTCAGCCTTCTTTCATAGGTCATGTTCTCAAGACCTTTAATCATTCTTGTTGCTCTTCTCTGGACCCTCTCCAATTTCTCCACATCTTTCTTGAAATGCGGTGCCCAGAACTGGATACAATACTCCAGTTGAGGACTAACCAGCGCAGAGTAGAGCAGAAGAATGACTTCTCGTGTCTTGCTCACAACACACCTGTTAATACATCCCAGAATCATGTTTGCTTTTTTTTGCAACAGCATCACATTGTTGACTCATATTTAGCTTTTGGTCCACTATAACCCCTAGATCCCTTTCTGCTGTACTCCTCCCTAGACAGTCTCTTCCCATTCTGTATGTGTGAAACTGATTGTTCCTTCCTAAGTGGAGCACTTTGCATTTGTCTCTGTTAAACTTCATCCTGTTTACCTCAGACCATTTCTCCAATTTATCCAGATCATTTTGAATTATGACCCTATGCTCCAAAGTAGTTGCAATCCCTCCCAGTTTGGTATCATCTGCAAACTTAATAAGCGTACTTTCTATGCCAATATCTAAGTCGTTGATTAAGATATTGAACAGAGCCGGTCCCAAAACAGACCCATGCAGAACCCCACTTGTTATACATTTCCAGCAAGATTGGGAACCATTAATAACTACTCTCTGAGTACGGTTATCCAGTCAGTTATGCACCCACCTTATAGTAGCCCCATCTAAGTTGTATTTGCCTAGTTTATCAATAAGAATATCATGCGAGACCATATCAAATGCCTTACTAAAGTCTAGGTATACCACATCCACCGCTTCTCCCTTATCCACAAGACTCATGGATATTATTTGCAATAATCTTCCCTAAAAAAGGAAGATTAACAGATGGATAATGTTATTTCAAGTGACAAAACAATTCCACAGCATATGCAGGCTTAAATACACTAAAGCAAGTTACCCTTGTGTTATCTTTGAATGTGTTGGGAAATTTGTTCTGCAGTTGAAGTCTTATGTATGAGTTAAATATATGCAAATACTAGAATCAAATATAATTACACTGCTAAATTGAAGGTCTGACTTTTCAGTGCTTCTGAATGTATATTTAAATCAATACTTACCAGTAAAATAAAAAAAATAAAGAAAAAATTAATAGAGGTACACAGATCAAGAACAGCATAAAATGGTGAAAAATGGGTTTTTCACCTTTATGTTTATTTTGCAGATAAATATCATCTGAAATTTTCATCAGCTAAATTGCAAAAAGGAAGCCCTAACAAGACATGATTAAAATGGGGAAATGACTGGGGATTTCAGATATCAGAATGCAGAATTTACCAAAGGCAAAGAAATAAAATAGGAAGCAAGGAGGGATGGCAATATTTGTAAAAAATTCTATTGCTCAAAAGATATGATAAAAATATTTTTGCTGACATAGCCATTTGGCTAGAAGTCAAAGACAAC